AAAAGTTGGCTTAAAGCTCAACATTCAGAAAACTAAGATCATGGCATCTGGTCCTATCACTTCATGGGAAATAGATGGGGAAACAGTGGAAACAGTGGCTGACTTTATTTTTGGGGGCTCCAAAATCACTGCAGATGGTGACTGCAGCCATGATATTAAAAGACGCTTACTCCTTGGAAGGAAAGTCATGACCAACCTAGACAGCATATTAAAAAGCAGAGACATTACTTTGCCAACAAAGGTCCGTCTAGTCAGGGCTATGGTTTTCCCAGTGGTCATGTATGGATGTGAGAGCTGGACTGTGAAGAAAGCTGAGCACCTAAAAATTGATGCTTTTGAACTGTGGTGTTGGAGAGGAGTCTTGAGAGTTCCTTGGGCTGCAAGGAGATCCAACCAGTCCATCCTAAAGAAGATCAGTCCTGGGTGTTCATTGGAAGGACTGAGGCTGAAGCTGAAACTCCAATACTTTGACCACCTCATGTCAAGAGTTGACTCATTGGAAAAGACCCTGATGATGGGAGGGATTGGGGGCAGGAGGAGAAGGGGGCGACAGAGGATGAGATGGCTGGATGGCATCACTGACTGGATGGGCATGAGTTTGAATTAACTCCAGGAGTTGATGATGGACCGGGAGGCCTGGCGTGCTGCAATTCATGGGGTTGCAAAGAGTCGCACATGACTGAGCGACTGAACTGAATTGATAATGAAAAGGACATCTTTTTTGGGTGTTAGTTCTAGAAGTTCTTGGAGGTCTTCATAGAACCGTTTAACTTCAGTTTCTTCAGCATTACTGGTTGAGGCACAGACTTGGATTACTGTGATATTGAATGGTTTGCCTTGGAGACAGAGATCATTCTGTAGTTTTTGAAAAGAATCCAAGTACTGCATTTCAGACTATTGTTGACTATGATGAGTACTCCGTTTCTTCTAAAGGATTCTTGCCTACAGTAGTAGATATAATGGTCATCTGAGTTAAATTCACCCCTTTCAGTCCATTTTAGTTTGCTGATTCCTAAAATGTTGATGTTCACTCTTGCCATCTCCAGTTCAACCACTTCCAATTTGCCTTGATTCATGGACCTAACATTCCAGGTTCCTATGCAGTATTACTCTTTACAGCATCACACTTTACTTCCATCACCAGTCACATCCACAACTGGGTGTTGTTTTTGCTTTGGCTCCGTCTCTTCATTCTTTCTGGAGTTATTTCTCCACTGATCTCCAGTTGCGTATTGGGCACCTACCGACCTCGGGAGTTCATCTTTCAGTGTCCTATCTTTTTACCTTTTCATACTGTTCATGGAGTTCTCAAGGCAAGAATACTGAAGTGGTTTGCCATTTCCTTCTCCAGTGGACCATGTTTTGTCAGAACTCTCCACCGTGATCCATCCATCTTGGGTGGCCCTACATGGCATGGCTCATAGTTTCATTGAGTTAGACAAGGCTGTGGTCCATGTGATTAGATTGGTTAGTTTCCTGTGATTGTGGTTTCCATTCTCTGCCCTCTGATGGAGAAGGATAAAAGGCTTATGGAAGCTTCCTGATGGGAGAGTGTGACTAAGGGGGGAACTGGGTCCTGTTCTGCTGGGTGGGGCCAAGTTCAGTAAATCTTTAATCCAATTTTCTATTGATGGGTGGGGCTGTGTTCCCTGTTATTTACCAAAGGCCAAACTATGGTGGCGGAAATGAAGATAATGGCGACCTCCTTCAAAAGGTCCCATGCATGCACTGCTATGCTCAGTGCCCCAGCCCTGCAGCAGGCCACCACCAACGCACACCACCACAGGAGACTCCTGGACACTCACGGGCAAGTCTGGGTCAGTCTCTTGTGGGGTCACTGCTCCTTTCTCCTGGGTCCTGGTGCACAGAAGTTTCTGTTTGTGCCCGCCAAGAGTTGGTTTCCTAGTCCTATGTAAGTTCTGGCAGCTCTATGGTGGGGTTAATGATGACCTCCTCCAAGGGGGCTTATTGCCATACCCAGGTCTGCTGCACCCAGAGCCCCTGCCCCTGTGGAAGGCCACTGCTGACCCGTACCTCCACAGGAGACGCTCAAACACAGTTCTGTCTCAGTCTCTGTGGGGTCTCTGGGTCCTGGTGTGCACAAGGTTTGTCTGAGCCCTCTGAGTGTTTTTGGTGGCTATGGGGTTTGATTCTAAACACATTTTCGCTCCTCCTATCTGTATCAATCTGACTATCCCTAATTTTGGGGGCAGTTATTTGCCCTGTGACCTCAGTTCTTGGATGGAACTAAGAAGAGTTCGTTGAATTTTCAATTTGTTCAGCTCTTTGTTGTTAGGATAGAGTGATGATGTTAGACCAGAAACTAGAAGTATCTGGGATGTTAACCTTTTATAAATATTTGGTGACACTGAAATGCTCTAAAATTTTAGTAGGGAAGCTAAGTTTTATACAACTTTTAAAGGCAACAGCTGTTTGAAAATTTGGGGCTAAAGTTTAATAAGAACATTAATATTGCCAGAAGTATAATGTTCCTTCTAGTTACCTTAAAACTAAATGTCAAAAGTAGGTTTTAAATAAAAATCTATTAATTGTTTCTAATTTCCAAAATTTGACATAAACAGTCATGACAAACACTAAAATATAAATCTGTTAAGCAGTTATTATTTTTGACACATTCAAGGAACTATTTCCTCTTTGTCCACATATTGCTTATAAATAGAGCTGCTCATTTGATTTGGAGTATATAGATTAAGCAGTGGCTTTGTTGGCTTATTGGAGAAGGAAATGGCAACCCACTCCAGTATTCTTACCTGGAGAATCCCCATGGACAGAGGAGCCTGGCAGGCTACGGTCCATGGGGTCGCCAAGAGTTGGACAAGACTGACTTTCACTTCACTTCATTGGCTTATATTCTAATATTTATCAAATCCACATTTCTCATTTCACATACCACTTGTAATAGCTCTATTCAGTGAAGGACAAAAAACCTTCTCTTCTATCTGTGATTTTGTTTCCTCTGTTTCTGGCAAGATGGTTTCCTTAGTTTCTTCATGTTCATCAGCTCTGAGGATCTGAAGTAAAACAAAAAGTTTTTTAAGAACTATACCTTCCCCCAGAGTCCAAAAAAGTCTGTTCTTTACATCTGTGTCTCTTTTGCTGTCTCGCATATAGGTTCATCATTACCATCTTTCTAGGCGAAGGTGGGATGATTTGAGATAATAGCATTGAAACATGTATATTATCATATGTGAAACAGATCGCCAGTCCAGGTTTGATGCAGGGTACTGATAGCTGGTGCACTGGGATGACCCAGAGGGATGGGATGGGGAGGGAGGTTGGAGGGGGGTTCAGGATGGGGAACACATGTACACCCATGGCTGATTCATGTCAGTGTATGGCAAAAACCACCACAATATTGTAAAGTAATTAGCCTTCAATTAAAATAAATAAATAAATAAAAAGAAATATACTTTCATACAATTTTATGAGTGTAAGAAACCACCAAATCTCATAACTAAATTCACATTATTACTGTGAATATGGAAAATTAGATGAGCAGCCCTACTTTTTTTTTTTTCGCCAAAAAAAAGGGAAGTTTATTGCTGACTCGAGTCAGGGCTCCCGTCGCACGTCCAACGCAGTGGTACGGGGTCAGAGAGCGCTGAGCCCAAGCTGTTACCCAATTTATAAGGTGTGCATAAGCAGTTGGTAGCTGGCTTAAGCGGATTGGTTACATGTTGAGCAGCCCTACTTACAAGCAATAAGTGGACAAAGAGGAAATAGTTCCTTAAGTTAGCTAGAAGGAACGTATCAAAGTTATTTAAACTGGATCACGACTAATCTGTTGGAGTTCTGATGTAAAAATCTTTTTCTGGAAAGTCTGTCCAGTAGAACCATATTATTTTAAATTTTCTTATTTCAGAATTTATAATAAATTTACATAGATTAGAATGAAGTCTTTACAGATAAAAGTAATTAAAATCAATGGTGAGTATTTTAAATATTTTTAAAAAGGACTTTTTTGACTCTTAAAAACTGTAGAAACTCCTATTTTAATAGTAAGCAATTTATAATTCTAATTATGACCAATTATTATTTAGTAAAACAAGATCAACAAGAGTTGGTCTAATGACTTACTCTATATACTTGCAAATATGAAAACCTGGGTCTCTTCAAATGTACCGCAGAACATCTTAATTAATTTACATTTTTCTTTACCTCTTATACTCTAAACTTCTAAGTTTATTCTGGACATGGCAAGAAATAATAAGCCAAATTTCTATTATTCCTAAAATCTGCTTTAGTTCCCAAATAATCTACAGCCACCTCTTATCAGGTTTTCATCCCTCTTCTTAGGGTCTATTAAAAAGGGAGGTGGGAGGGGGGATTGGGATGGGGAATACATGTAAATTCATGGCTGATTCATGTCAATGTATGACAAAAACCACTACAATACTGTAAAGTAATTAGCCTCCAACTAATAAAAATAAATGAAAAAAAAAGTTATTTTTAAATGACCACTTCTCATTTTTAAACCAAATATATGAAAAAACTTATTATCTTTAAAAATAAATTTTAATGTTAGGTTTTTATGTCATATGTTACAATTTAAGTCTTTACCTCAGTAATTGTAGATGACTGGACATTTTCATCCTCCAAGTGTTCATTTTGTGGTTCTTTAGTGTACATGCTAATATTTAAAAGTAATTTGAAAGAAAAAAGAAAAATATTATAAGTCCATTTGAAAACAAACACGGTTAAGTGGGATTAATTTGTTACCATAAAGTTTTATCACAGTCAAGTCAGATATCTGAATAATCTAAATAGCCCAAATAGTCACTTTTAAAATTATTAACCAAAGTCACGTGCAGGACTTTTAAAAATCACAACACAAAAATTTTAATACTTCTCAGTAGCTCATAATCCTGGGCCATATCTTAAAAGCATATATTAGAAAACTCAGTTCTTGATTTCATGCACTGAACTAGTATGTTTGAGGTAATTTCCATAATTGATTTACTCTACTCAGTCAACTTCTGCAAAAAGATTTAAACTTAAAACCTACATCTATCAGCATAATGTCTTTATACGTGGTCCATTAGAAAGGACTGTAGGTCCAACATTTAAGCAAAATAAAATAACCTTTATTTTGAATAAAAATGAACTAGGAAAAAAAATTATTTCTAGAAAAACCTTATTTTAAAATATCTGTTGTTTCTACCTTCTCTGTGATCTTTACTTCTTTGAGTTGATCTTTGCCTTAAAAATTTCTTTCAATTCTTGAGTTACTGTTGAGGACAAAATTAAAGATTTCAAGCTTTAATTTTAAGTACTTGATAAGAATGTGTTTCAAGTATCTATTTTCTTAAAGGCGAACAATTTTAATAATGAAAGTTTTTAATGAAATGGAACATTAACATTTGAGTAAACCATATACTGGGTGCTTATAGCAACCCTATGGACCATAGCCCACCAGGCTCCTCTGTCCATGGGATTCTCCAGGCGTGAATACTGGAGTGAGTTGCCATGTCCTCCTCCAGGGAATCTTCCTGACCAAGGGACTGAAACCTTGTTTCTTATGTCTTCTGTATTAGCAGGCAAGTTCCTTACCACTAGTGCCACCTGGGAAGCCCTGAATTTTAATAATGGAAGTTTTTAAAGAAATGGAACATGAACATCTGAGTAAACCATATGCTGAGTGCTTACATATATTCTCACTTTAATAAAGCAAAATATTAGTGTTTAAAATCCTATAAGAGGTGAAGGGAGGCTTAAGAGGATGGGGATATATGTATAATTATGGCTGATTTATCTTGTTATACAGCAGAAACTAACACAATATTGTAAAGCAATTATTTTCCAATTAAAAAAAAAATCCTGTAAGGAGTCATAACTAAATTTATGACACTAAAATGGAAAATAACATTTATTTTTAAAAAATGGTGAAAAAATTAGATCTCTAAGTCCTTTTAAAGTTTTAGTTCAAGGAAATATCAAAATTATTAGACTGACTACTTGTCATTAGCTGTTAGACCAAAAGCTGAGTGTTAGTAAGCTCTGTGAACAAGAAATGTGGGTGATCACCTAAGCTGGATCAAGTTCTGAAGGGATAGGCTGAGAGTTCAGTTCAGTTCAGTTCAGTCGCTCAGTTGTGTCCAAATCTTTGCGACCTCATGGACTGCAGCACACCAGGCCTCCCTGCCCATCACCAACTCCCGGAGTTTACTCAAACTCATGTCCATCAAGTCGGTGATGCTATCCAACCATCTCATCCTCTGTTGTCCCCTTCTCCTCCTGCCCTCAATCTTTCCCAGCATCAGGGTCTTTTCAAATGA